GAGAGAGAGAGAGAGAGAGAGAGAGAGAGAGAGAGAGAGAGAGAGCATGCAGCAGGGTGTCTCGCGTACCTTTCGCCTGACGTCTTCGTTTGCAATCAAAGTCCAGTCTACGACCTTGCAATTTCTTCCGGTGATGCTGAAACAAAATTGAGAGAGAAGGATGAGATCGCGCGAGACACTCAGGCAAGGTGAGAAAGTAGTAAACGACGTTCTCTCCGACGCAAGGGGAGGGGACGCGCGCAACTTTTCTAATAAGCGTACCATCACTTCTTTCAGATCTTTGGTCTGCAGGTGGTGCAGCGGCTCGAGGAAGTTCTGCTTAATGTTGTCGTCCAACGAATATTTCACGTCGGCCATCTGTTTCATCGCTTCGCCCATTTCAATGAGAGCCTGGGCTACAAGAGTTGATAAAAAAAAAAAGAAGAAAGATTGAAGGAAAAAGAATGATATGGTAACGTCCCGTCGCTCTGTTGATTCTCATAAAGTGGTCCGCATTCTCAACGTTAGTTTCATCATTAAAGCAATCGAATTTAATTCGAAAAGACGAATAAGAAAATGCAATACAGACGTTACAGTTTGTACAGTTGAACGTAATTTGCAAAGATTATTCCTGCCGTCTGAGATAGTTGATTGTTAATATCTCTCCTTGAAAACAAAGTCGCCGAACGGGGAGAGAATGTCTGCCGTGAGGGATTACTTCAAAGAAGCTTTTGGAAAATGAGAGAGATTGCTCCTTGAAAAGGATTCCCATCGCGGATAGCAACGTTAATGGCTGGTTGTGAATCGCACATATACCAAAAATGCTGTCCTCGCCCATTTTCTTGCCATAGGTGAGCATGCAGTCGCCGAGTACACCTTCCGGTTGAGGGTAGGTCGAGGCCTTCGCCTGACCGCTGAGCTTACTGATGCCCTTGACCGCAGCCATCTTCGCTCGCGCCGTTGGATTCGGCTGGAGGAACTCTTTCGTCTTCATTTGCAGCTCCTCCACGAGCTCGTAGGTGACGTCTGTTTTCTATATATGAATACGTTTTCACGTGAACACGTTGCCGATTAAATCGCTAACAGCCGAGAGAGAAGCTCCACGGTAAAAACTGCGAGAGCTCAAAGCGGAGTCTCGCAAAAGAGAAATTTCGAGGACACTGCATTGTCGAGGACCGTATCGAATTGCGTAATAGTATCGAGACTGCGTCGCGTAGCTGATGCGAAATATTTGTAGTAAACGCGAGAGGTGAGCAAATCCCTCGCCATCCCGTTTCACAATGCGTTTCGATCGCGAGGCGTTCCGCTCATGTCTCAAAAGAGTCCTTCGCGTTTCTTTTTCAAGGATGACCGCAAAATTGACAAAATTCACACAGCGCAAAGGCAAGAGGTCGGAGGTAAATATTTGGAATTTAGTAATAACACACCAGCGTGAGATGCACGAGTTGTCCCTTTCTCGCGACGACCTCGTAAAGAACCGCGCGCGAGGACGTAGACGAAGCACCACTTCGCTTTCACACAAAAATACACAAACTCACCCTCTCCATATCCACGAAGTCGACGTCGAGCTTCGTTCCCTCCGCTCCACCCATCTTCTCCGTCATATACTGCAAAAGAGAATTTATCATTCAGTCAAGATCTAGAGTGAGTAAAGTCGTCAAATGAACAAAATGATCTTTACCGACTTTATAAGTGTCTCGCGGTGAAATCTCAGTTAAAACGAGCGAACATTCACTCAAAGAGACAAAATACCGCCATTCAGAATCGTAAGAGTGAATGTTTCACTCAAGCTTAGGATGGACTATTAATTCATAAACGTGAACGTTTCAGTCGATTAGAGTGAATTTATTTCCGTGACAATATATGAACCTGACGTTTGTGTCGTGAAAAATGAATTTTTCAAAAAAACAGTTAATATTAAACATAACTATGATGAAATTAAATTTTTACTCCGGAAGACAAAACACATCATAGAGAGAGAGAGAGAGAGAAGAAGAAGAAAAAGAAGAACAGAGAGAAAGATATGCTAGTTAAATTTTTAAAAAATTAACTTTGATTAAAAAAATTTTAACCAAAATACTTCTTTTAGTGAAGGATATAAGATATGTTTTATGCAAAATTTTCTGTCAATTGTATGACAGTAAACCACACCCGTCAAACATTGAAAATTCTGTAAAGATGTTCACTCGACGATTTGTGGTGAAGGAACTTACTCTGTACGAACGAAAATCACTCGAGATTTCGAGTGACGCAACTGTCACTTCACTTTTCGAGTGTAATTTCATTCGAAGAAATTTCGAGAGTACATCTCTCAAAATCTTCACGAGAATTCGCGTTTCCTCGCTCGAGTCTAAGCATCTGAACGTCTAAATAAAGTGCAAAGAACTTCGACATTCTCGTAGCTTGTTAATCAGAAAAACCTCAGGAAGAAATAATAACAGTCTTTAAGTACAATTTTCCGCTGTATTGATGAACCGTTCGCCCGCTTGCAAGCGTGGAAATCGTAGTTTCAGCTCGGCGTCTCTGAGACTTCCTTTCGATATCGGAGAGAGATAAGAGAAAGATTCTCTAAAGAAAAGACTCTAAAGAGTGGACTCAAACGATGGCAAAGTCAAGCGTTAATTATCGTCGGCGCAGTCAGATCTAGAAGAAATGTGAAAAGGGGAGAAAGAAACAACCCCGCAAAGCTCGCCATTAGACGTGTTTTGCGCGCGCAACTCGATTTTCCAACTCCTCGCCAGCTCGAATATTTACCCCGGCGGCGAGGGCGGCCGGAATTCTCGATAATCGGAAGAATGTCCGATTAATACGTGACGTCGTGTTCTATTAAATCGACTTCCTCGGATATGAGCGGCGCTGAACGGCAATGGCATAATCCGAGCTAATACTGCGCGCGATTTATTTCCCTCGCGCGATCAATGGCGTGTACAGGGGCGCGGGAGAAGAGAAGGGAGACGCGAAGAGAGGAGAGAAGAGAAGAGAATGCGAAGGCCGAAGATGGTATCGCGTGGATAATCACGCCGAGCCCCGCGAAACGGGATCTCGCTCGCTCGCGGGGGAACGAAGCTCCAGACAAAGAGACCCTGACCTATATCTAACGACGACCCACTTTCACAGGGGTGCACAGGGACGTAGCCGTCAACCGATAAACGTCACCCCGAAGTAAATTTGACCCACATCGAACGGCTCCCGAGCAATGTCACGCTTCGCACCGGCGAGCGTCGCGTGCGAAATGTCATCCTCGTCGTCGTCGTCGCAAGGGGGTGAAAACATACGCACACACATACACATATGTACAGGACGTCGGACGATAACGTAAATTTATTTCGCGTACATGTAGATTAAGTCAAACTGGAGAAAAAATTCCTCTACCATTTTGCGGACAACCACGTGAAATTTTTAGTTATTAATTAAAGAAGACGGCGAATCATCGCGCGCGATAGTGTGAGTGGAATGCTGTGGAGGCGGTGCCTAATCAGTGCTAGCTAATCAGTGCTCCCCTCTAACCGCTCGACGCTCGCCCAACGCAATGTTATTCTACTCGAACGTCGAGCGGTATTAGGCTGGGGGGTAGTAGCGCGGGGGGAAAGATGATTAGCGCGGTCCAGGCACCGCCTCTACGGCGTTCTACTCCACTATCACACGCGATCATTCGCCAATCTTTTTTAAGTGATAACTAAAAATTTTACGTGGTTGTTCGCAAAGTGGTAGAGGAACTTTCTGCTCAGTTTGATTTAATCTACACATACACGAGAAGTGAGAAGTGAGGAAAGACCGGGAATAGACGTCCTATGTTTAGAGTTTTGAAGTTATAACTTCTCAGGCAACTAATTGTTGTGACTAATTATATAAACATGATAAAGGCAACTTTCTTTCGCAGAAGAAGGCTACGCATAAAATATGTATCTTGATTAGTAGTTCTAGTCTCCGCGAGAGGTCTCTACAGATCTATCGGCTCTCAAATATAAACCAACTTTATCTCGTCCATATGCTCCATTTCAATCGTTTTATGAATGAAAATTGCATTTATTACCAGAAACAGTATATCATACATCTGCAAAAATTTCATTCTAGCTAGTGACACATCGCTTAATTTTATTCAGTCACGATAAAGAATATTAATATAAAATTTCGAGAGGCGCGAACATTTACTTTACTTTAGTAAGTCAGTTTTTTCTATTTCTTAACTGTAATATTATTCCGATTTTAGTCAAACTCACAGAAAAGCATTTGTTCTAAAAGGATCACTTTTGTATCCACTATTCCTTTCAAGATAAATACTGAAAAAAAGCACAACATACTCCTGGGGCCATATAGTCTCGGTCTTCCTTATGTGTTACCGTCAGACACATTGCGTATATGTATGCATACATGGGGGTGGAATATTTCACTAATGACCCTTCGTGTTCTCTATTAAGAGCGCTTCTATTCCCGGAGTGGCGTATCGTGGCAAATTCCACGGTAGCGTATAGGTTACGTAAAAATACAAACGGAAGAGCACCAGTGGCGGCGTGGACGCGCCGAACGAGATTGGAAAGCCGATGCGCGCCGGTATTAATAACCGATTCATGATTCTTGCAACGAGAGAACAGGGGCCACAACTGTTCCTGCGACTCGAGTGGTGCTTAAATTTGAAAGCGCTTTAAAGTCAACCGTGTATTGTGAAGCTCTTGACACACATCCTGTGTGTCGCTCTTTCGGCTTTAAAGCGCATCGCCGAGCGCCTTAAAACGAGAAACAACCTGTACGTCGCTGTCGCGGATTCTATAAGTGTCGATCCAAATAAGGATTAATTGCTCGGTTCTCAGTTGGCACGTTTGCGCCGGCGGAACACTGGCACGATTTCCGCACTCGAATTGAAACGACCCGAACAAGCAAGCGACTGCGGCGCCGATGTTCCTCTGCCCTGAGAAAATGTCTCGCTGTTGTATGAATATATATATATATATATATATATATATATATATATATATATATACATATATACATGGTGTTTCTTAACCTCCGCCCACGAAGCACATAGCGTTATTCCTTATGTAAAATTAAATCGAAAAGTCCTAAACCATTTGTCTTTGATGCTTAACGAAGCAGGTATTCTTTAATAAATTCCAGCAAATCCGCACCGTTCTTTAGCGATATATACGTCTGTGAGCTGAACTGGTAGTGTGCGTGAATGCAGCGGCAGAACATTTATGCATACTACTAAGCACGCGGCTCACAGACGTGTATACTTCTAAAGGACAGCGCGAATTTGCTGGAATTTATTAAAGAATATCTGCTTTATTAAACATCAAAGATAAAAATGATTCAGGACTTTTCGATTCAATTTTTCATAAGGAATAACGCTATGTATTTCGTAAATGGAGGTTAAGAAACATCCTGTGTATATATATATATATATATATATATATATATATATATATATATATATATATAATAAATTTTAACGATTTGTTCTCTCAGCGTGCAATTGGCATCGAGTTTCGTAGGCGTGTTCGCTCGTCGATTTGCGCGATATCAAGTCGAGATTGCATATCCGCGGATTATATCCTTGAGCACGACGCTCACTGCAGCAAAATATCAAAATCGGAAAAAAATGGGAAACGGAGAAAAACTCGACAATAAATCGAAATATCTGGCGAGAGAACATTCGAAAATTTTAGATGAATCGAATTATCAAGAAATACCACTGTGAAATGTACGAGCTATCGCTGATGCATGTTAAATGTCGAGCATGTTTAATGTCGAGCGTTTTCACGTGTAAGACGTAACTATAATCGCATACGATAAATTAAACATATAACTAATGACGAATGATTGAAACAGGCTGACATATATTATAAATTGTATTCATTTGCTCTCTCTCTCTTTCTCTCTCTGTATTTCATTCTTTTTTTCTTTCTTTTGTTGTTCCAACTTTAGTTGAGTCTCGAAGCAACCAGTGAAAAATAGCGCGCTGGATAATGTGATAAATGTTAATGCGAATTTCCCTCAAACGATCTCTGTTTTGTTTATAATTAATTACGAGGGTTATTGGATTTTTATTAGGAGTTAGGTATCTCCTTTATTCGTGTCAACAAAACGGTGAAACTCCCGTCACGCTATGAGAGAAAATATTGTTTATTTGAAATAATGAAGAGGGAGAAAACGAGGTACTACAAAGTAACGTATAATGTTAACAATAAGGCGTGTCTTGGTCAGGGAGATCACGTGGTTGCTAGTATGTTTCCGAAGAGAGTATCGCGATAAATCGTACTTTCCGTTTAAAACGTTAAATACCGTCGAAGTGATCGTGCTCGCGAGTGCAGTGTCGTGAAGTGACAAAGCGAGTGAAGTGTAATCGACGTGGGACGACAACTGGGGACGCTACGTAGGCTGGACGCTGAGGACTTGGACCCGGTGGGCGACTATACGTATCGTCGGATATCAATACGCAGTGGTGAGTACACCGAAAAAAAAGATTTGCTAATATATGAACAACTAAAAATATTAACTGCAGGAGCAAATTTTCTTGCTTTTATAGTAAAGTTATTTAGTTGTGATAGCTAAAAGATTTGCTTATATATATATATTTGCTTATAAGATTTGCTATAAGATTTGCCTATAT